TTCCTGTTCATTCTTTTGTCATGAATTCCTCTATCTTGCTATTTTGCAGGAAAAAAATTAATAAAATAAAAATTTTAAATTTAAACAAAATGTAAATGAAGGAAGCTAGGTCCTAGGTGCATTTTTGGTCTGCTTTTAAGAGAAGCTTCATAGGAAAACAGGGAAAAAAAAGAAAATTAAAAATTAAAAAAATATAATATGATAAAGGAAAAAAAATTTGCTCTTTGTGTATCCAAAAACAAAAGCAAAAAAAAAAAAAAAAACCCAAAAGTAAACAAACAAAAATCCAAAGGAAGCTACATCTAGTTTCTCCTAGAGTTGAAACTTTGCAGAACTCTGTGAGCAGTAGATGGTAGCACATTGAAGGGGTTTGTGCTAATCTTCTGCTAGAGGAACCTGCTGCTTTGATTCTCACAAAGACTTGTTCTAGTGGAGATGGGCTTGGAGGGTGCAGGGGGACAGGTTTTTGTGTAAAGGTGGCCATGTTTAGCTCACTGAGGTGGATTAGTACTGTTGGGCTTGTGGTGAAAATGGCTCCCCCCAGTCTCTGGAGTGGAATGTTCACACCCTAATAGAGTACATCAGTCACCTCTCCTCTTCCCTGGCTTCTATCAGATCCCTGCCTTCCCCCTGTCTGTGCCTGAGCTGTGCTTCTGCCAGGAAGTGCCACCCTCCTGGGTTTTCATTCATGGCTGTATTTCAAAATCTCCACACTCGGAGGTGCCCCATTGCTTTAGACCCATGCTGATCCTCTGGGGTAGGGTCTTGCCACCTTGTGGCCAGTGCCAGCTTGTCCCAGAAAACAGTCATACAACTGCAGAGCAGCTGCAGCTTGGAACTTATGGTAAATAGCAACACACAGCCAGTATGAGTGGTTGCTGCCCTCAGCCAGCGTCTTTATTCCTGTTCTGGTGAATGGGGTAGTTTAGTGGTGCCCACAGGGTTTTTTGCCCATGCAGAGGCTGTACCACCTCTACCAAATGCATTCCCAGCAGGGGAATCGCTTCTCCCTGTGCAACCCAGGAGATTTTCAGACCATGCTGCCCTCTCCTGGGGCTCTCTGCCTTGTCGACTTCTGAAACTTCAGACCCTGTACTCTGCTATTTATAAAACTGGAAGTATTGAAACCCTTTCCTTTTTCCCTGTCAGTGATTTTGGTGAACAGTTTTCTTGTGCAGTCCCCTGTGCCTATATTCACTCTTTTTCCCCCCACTCTTTCCTTCTCTCTAGCTACTTTCAAAGGGAGTGCTTTTCTTGCACTAACCTAACACACTGTTCTCTCTCCAGCCCTCTCTATCCTCTCCATGAAAAAGGCTTCCACCCCTCTCCAGCACCAGGGCTTTTCTTTTCCCCATTTCTCTCCCCACACCATATACCTACCATATTCTCTCCCTCAAATTATGCAGATTGTTCTCTTAACCCTCAAATCGTTATTGTAGGTGTTCAGTGGTTTGATGTGGGGCTCATGGGTGACTCAGTCAGTTGAGCATCCGACTTTGTATTTTGACTCAGGTCACAGTTGTATGGTTGTGGGATTGAGCCCCACATTGGGAGCCTGCTGAAGAATCTCTCTCTCTTCCTCTGCTCCTCTCCCCTGTGCACACACACTTTCTCTCTTTTTCTCTCTCAAAAAAAATCTTACAAAATGGTTTAATGTTGGGGTGCCTGGGTGGCTCATTCAGTTGAGTGTTGGACTCTTGATTTTGTCTTAGGTCATGGTCTCACAGGTTTCCTGGGATCAAGCCCTGTAATGGGCTCCGCACTGACAGCACAGAGCCTGCTTGGGATTCTCTCTTCTCCCCTCTCTCTCTGCTCCTCCCCTGTTCACATGTGTTCTCTCTCTCAAAATAAATAAACTTAAAAAAATGATTTGATGTTGATCTCCTTGTGCTCGAAGGATGAGACCAGCCTTGGATTTCCCTTGTATTCTACCATCTTAACTCCTCCTCCTCCAGTTTCTTTTAAAAGGAATCAGCAGCATATCTTGTTCAAACTGCAGGATTTTTTTTTGTTGTTGTTGTTGTTGTTGTTGTTGTTTTTGGCACAGATGTATATTTTATCTCTTTCCCATAATGCCACCGAAATGACAGAATGATGTACAAAAATAGAAATATCTGTAATGGAGAATGGGGTCACATCAGTGGTGTAGGTATTTTGGTGAATTTCTGGAAGGCATAGAGTAATTCATATTGTACCAAAGGTCAGACTAGACCAGAAGAATCCATAGACCAGACATGCACAAGAGGAGGCTGCAGAGAAAATCTGAGCTTTGAGAAGCCCCCAACTTTTTGTCCTATACTCATAAAACCTAAAGCAAGACCTGACAGGTAACATACCACCCTCATATAGTCAGCTTGATGTGAATCTTCTCATTCAAGGAAAGTATCACTTAGGGAACTAGACTGTTATGATGTCAGTAGATACTAATTATTGTGTTACCAGTCTAGTCATTAGGTCATCATCATAGTGAATGAACAAGTAAAAATCATGACAATTAAAGGAAGCTATGAGTACACTGAGAAAATTATACAGTAACAAAAAATATTTTTAAACTACAGACATATACAATAACATGGATTTTCTGAGGGAAAAGCATAAATACATCTAGACTGTTACCCACTACTCCCCTTTCTAAGACTTGGGGATATCCCTCAAGAGTGGATGACCTGGTCTAATCTTATGACATGGACCTCCAGATTATAGAATAATTATATTTTTTGAATGTTGATGTATTTTAAAATATCTTTTAAGCTAAACAAATGTTTAAACCAAACATCGAATTAAATAGCTTCTCCCTGATATTTTGTCAAAGTCTATCCCAGGAGCCAATCCTACCTAGCAATAGGAACAAGAATAATTCACTTTAGGTGTGTGATATTTGCAATCATCACTAAAGAAACAGGAAGGCAAGCTTGCCTGCAGCAGCTGTCCCAGGCCTGGTAATCAGCCAGTAATGAGCCAGGGCTCATTGCAAGGTTGAAAATGACTGATGCTCTCTTACTGCATTCTGTGTGTTTGTGCTCTCAAATTCAATTCATTTTTACATATATTTTACAAATACTTATTTAGGACCTTGTGTGTAAGATATAGAGACTAAGACATCTAATTTGTAATAATAATAATTTTTAAAAGCTCACAGCCCCAAAATAAATATTATACAAGGCCAAGTATGACCTAAGAAGAATAAACTGCTAAATGATTCAAATGGGTAAACTAAATGTTTCAAGTGAGCATTACTATTCTCTTCAAGATAATCTGGAAATGCATCATAAAAGCTGTAACATTTGAGATATACCTTGAAGAAAAGGCACCTTTTCTCTGTGGGGAGACCTGTATTAGCAAAAGCATGTACTTGATAGAGTAAAAAGTAGTTAGAAAGCTTTCTGCAACTCATTTTTGGGTATAACACAGGAGAATAGGGAGAATTGTAGAGGAAGAGACTTCAGAGTTAACTAAGGTTTTATTTGAAAGGACTGAAAATAATGTCAGGGTGAGTAAACCAGGATGAGGAACACAGAGAGAAGGAATAAATGGATGTAAATATATGGAAAAAAATATATAAAATCTAGACATTGAACAGATAAAGTTGTACATGTGTATATAAACAGATTGTATTTGCACATAATCTGGTAGCAATGACAACCCATTAAAAGTTATTGAAAAGGGATATGATTTAATCAGAGTTGTTTATGAAGACTAACCTGGTGGCCAAGTTCTGAAAGTAATAGTATCAACAGGATTTAAAATATAAGCAGAGTTTTGCAAAACACAGAAGCAGAGTCAGGGCCTCATTGGTAACAGTAAGAAGGTGTATGGAATTTCAGTGTTGAGAAGGGAAGAACAGGAGTGGACTTGAAATAGGACACTTATTATACTTAGAGTATGGAATAGAAGGAACCTAACATTTAAAAATTCTTAAGACAGAAAACATCCAATATCTTGTTCATTTTCTTGTCTTTCCCAGCCACTCAGTTGATGCTATGACATCATATTATCTTAACATTATATGAATTTTGTAAACATGAATTTGAAGCCCATGTGTCAACAACACATTAAAAAAATTACATGTTACTGATTTATCTTATAGCTTCATTCTTTAAAAAAACTCTAGGAAGATTGACCATTTCCTTTTCTTCCCCATGACCATCCCACTTAAATTCTCTAGTCTCCTCTCTTAGCTTTATGAATTAGTGAAACTTTTCAGATTACCCTACAACATACACACACAGCTAGAAAGGGACTGTAGAAGGCATCCTAGACAGTGAGAGGCAAATCCCCTCATCCAGTTTCTCATAGGTGCACCCTAAGCTAAGAGCATCTCTTACAATTTGGCTTGACCCTCCCCATCTTAACTCCCTTCTCATATTTTCCCCATTGATCCCCTGTCTGGTTTTTTTGTTGTTGTTGCTGTTGTTTTTCTTTTTACAAATAGTTTGTTGTCAAATTGGTTTCCATATAATACCCAGTGCTCATCCCCACAAGTGCCCTCCTCCATGCCCCTCCCCCCTCCCCATCCCCTTTTTGTTTTTATCCCTCAGTGATATGACAGATGAATCCCCACATGAAGTGAAATTCACCATGGCCAAATAAAGTGGAATGAAAGATGGTTTGATGGCTAGCAGAATTTCTGGGATTTGTCTCTGCTCATTCAAACACAAACCTGCCTCCACTGTGGAGTTAAATGTATATGAGCCTCCAGGCTACATGGCTGTATAAGTATCAAATCATCATAATCTAGTCCTATTCAGAAAAACCATATGATTATAGTACTTAATGATTTTATAAAACTATAATAGAGTATAGCGTATAACAAAGAATAAAATATTTTTGTTTATGCTTCAGTTATTCCAGCATGAAATGAACACATGTTTAACAAATCATTAAATACTAGGCAACTACAATTGCACAGTCTTTGCATACTAACCAAAACAGAGCCATATCTAATCTGCATAATTTTGTGATGGTTTTAATAAAAAATAGAACAGATAATAGTATGAGATCTAAACATTTCTTTTTAACATTTTTCTTAGTGAATCTATGACTTTTTTATTTCTTAGGCTATAGATAATTGGATTTAACAAAGGAATTATGACAGTGTAAAACAGAGAGTCCATCATATCTTGATCATGTGATTGTGCAGATCCAGGGTGCACATACATGAAGAGAAGAGGGCCATAGTATAAAGAAACAGATAACAGATGGGCTCCACAGGTGGAGAAGGCTTTTTTTATGCCTTGTAGAGACTTCTTTTTTAAGATCATAAAGAGAATAAGTGTATAAGAGACCAGAACAATCAGAATGGTAAATACCTGTATTGACCCAGAGAAAATAAAAATCATCAGAATATTAATAGAAGGGTCAGTACAGGAAATCTTAAACAATGGCATGATGTCACAGTAGAAATGATATATTATGTTAGAATTACAAAAGGTTAATCTGAATAAAAACCCTATATGAACTATAGAATGAATAAATCCACCTACAAATGATGAAACTAACATCCAGGTGCAAAGTCTGTAGGTCATAATCACTGGATAAAGTAATGGTTTGCATATGGCTACATAGCGATCATATGCCATTGTTGCCAAGAGAAAACATTCTGTGGTGGCACCGAATGCAAAGGAAAACAATTGTGTCACACATTCAGAGAGAGTTATCATCTTACTCTTGGCTAGAAAGTTGACCAGCATCTTTGGGGTCACTGTAGATGATATCCAAGCATCCACAAAGGCTAAACTCCCAAGGAGAAAGTACATGGGAATGTGAAGGTGAGGGTCATTGCAGATAAGAGCGGTTAGTCCAAGGTTTCCCACAATAGTAATGAGGTATATCACCAAGAACATCAGAAACAGAGGGATTTTCCATTCTGGTTGATATGTGATTCCTGTGAGAACAAAATTTGTCAGCATTGTTGCGTTTTTAGGATCCATATTGTTACTGGATGACCCCTGAAATGAAATGCCATAAAAGTAAAAAGAACATTCACTAAGATTGTATTAAAAGAAAAATGGGAGAAAGTAGTTGAAATAAAGCCATACACTAACCAGAATGCACTTAATTTTATTTACTACTACTATAATATATGAAAACTAATTTTGGAATTGAGGAAATGGGAAATCCAATTATTTAAGTTAAAAAATATATACAGGAATTAACACATTTAGAAAAAAGGAGCTCTAGGCTCCGAACTGTTAGCACAGAGCCTGACACAGGACTCAAACCAACAAACCATAAGATCGTGACCTGAGCCAGAGTCAGACACTCACCCAACTGAGCCACTGAGGCACCCCAAGGAAAAACATTCTAAACATGATTACTAAATTTATGGGGATACCTGAGTGTGTTAGGGAATTCTGTGTCTGAAACATGGTTGAGGGTGTAGGGAAAAGAAGTTTGACTTATGATGAAATTAATTAAATCCATGTGGAGGTCCAGGGAATAGGGATACACCAAAAAATTTTAAGACAAGGAGTAGCATCATAAAATAATTTTTAAATTAAATACTTTGTAATGCAGAAAATATGCTGCAGGGAGGGGAAACTAGAGTCAGGAATACTAATTAGGAAGCTCTTACTGTTGTTCAGTGACTCTCAAACCAGATTACATATCAGAACTGTCTGAGGAACTTCTTGTACAAAATACAGATTGTGACGTATTACTCATTGTATTGACTCAGTGGGTAAAGAATGAAGTCTGATTATCTGCATTTTAAAAATTCCTTCTAGCTGGTTCAAGTGTACATAAAGTTATTAGTTTATGTGTAATGTAGTATTGGCAATGAAGAGGAGGACAAAGAGATAAAAAATAAATTAGAATGTAGTCCCTAGGACTTGGTGACATACTAGATGTGAAGGAGAGAGTAGACGCATGGTGACCAGATAGATGGTCAACAAATGAGTTTGAAAATTCAGTTGGCCTGTTTGTGGAGAAAGAGGCCTCTGACTATTCAGGTAAGAGTACTTAGTAGTAGGAGTCTACTAAAGCTTAATAGAAATAATGATTTGGGTGTCATTTGGGTAGCTGAAGGCATACTTACAGATGACCTATCCACTGAAGAGTGGATAAGGTAAGAAGGAGGACATGTTAAAATACATTTTTATATAGATTGGATTCCCTTAAGTGAAATCTAAAATCATTTCATAAGTGAAAATTCTCAAGTATAATTGTTGCGTACCTTTTAAGCATAAAGTGGGAAGAACAGTGGAGGGGCATCAGTCCTTCTATAAATCTCCTGATATGTATATATATATATATATACACACACATACACGCGGGGCTCGAACCCACGAACTGTGAGATCATGACCTGAGCTGAAGTTGGCCGCTTAACCGACTGAGCCACAGGCGCCCCTATATATATATATATTTTTTTTTAAAATAGTCAATGAAATTGTCAGAATGGGAGAAAGTTTAGAGGAGTTAATATGTATATGACTTACCTTAAAACTTAAATCACAGAATGTGATCCAAAGAATAGATCATTTAATCAAAATAAACAGAAACATTTCTTATGTAGTAAACATGACCTGCTATTAAAATTCAGTTTAAATTATTTAACATTCTAGTTCACCAAAACTTGTAAAGTCATTATAATTATGTTAGAAAGATAATAAATTATGTTAAGGTAAAAATTCCAGTTTTACAAGTATTTTGTTTATCCAGATTTAGTCACAAAAAATAAGATATTCAGATAGTTAAGAGTTTTAAATTTTTTGTTTGCCATTTTGGTATCTGGTATATTAATATAAAATTGTAAATTATTCAGTATTTTGAATTTTTATAAAAAGAATAATGAATGTTATAGAATTAATTTCTCTCTTACCCACATCCTGTAAGAAATGGTAGATGTAGAAAAAGCAATAATAGCACTGGAATGACAAAACATAGGAACACTGATTCATTTAGGAGACTTAAACTACAAAAAGTTCAAGAAAATGTTGTTTATACTTGGCTTGAGTACAAGAGTCAACCAGTTGTAAGACTGCTTTTGCCAGAAGAGAAAGGAATGAAGAACTAAAATTCCCTTAATAACAACCAAGGATTCCCTTTAGAACAAAACTAAGCTATTCTTCTGGGGGCATTGTAGATTTGAATTTGTATGAGAAGTCCAGGTGTCCCATAGGGCATTACGGACTCCAAAATCATAAACATCAAGTCATTGTATACAGTTCTAATTTTAACAGTTTAAATTACACTTTATGCTACTATTTTCACCACAGATGACACTTCTAAAGTTTCTGCAAACTTCAGTTTCTCTAAAATTTGGATGTTAAGAGTGCTTTGATTAGTATAGTCTTCTCTGAGCTAATCATACATGATTTTAATAAGGCTAAAATTCTGAATTCCCTTCAAGAACTAACCCCAAATAAAATTGTCCTCGTGCAAACTACACCTGAGATTCTAGACTAACATCTAACTTCCGACTTTAATGTGAAAATACATGAGAAATTTTATTAGGCAAAGGTCAGGAGAAGAGCAAAAGGAAAATGAAACAAAGGACCACAGTGGGATGTGACATATATCTGTGCTTTTCAAATTGTAATATAGGTGAATCTTCTGTGTTTTTTTTTTTTTCTGAAAATGCAGATTTTGCTTCAGTAGGTCAGGAGTGAGGCTGAGAGTCTTCATGTCTGAAAATGTGATGCCTCTGGACATGGCTTTCCATCACTGGAAGGTCTAGATGATCTCAGAGCTAGAAAATTGAAGAAACAACAACAACAAAAAAAATAGATTTGCAGTACTGCAGTAAATTAGTTCCGCCAAAACCTTATAGAATTCCTTATCCACTGTCATGATATTCCATGTCCATTGCTTCTAATTAATCAGCTCACTTCACAGTAAATAAAGTGTGACAATGTCCCCCTGATAATAAATTACCTCATCTTACCATTTTCCCCACCATCCTGATACAGGTGGTTTGCTAGAATGATGGAATCCTCTTTTGAAACTCAGTTACTGTGGGGCACCTGGGTAGCTCAGTCAGTTGGGCTGTTGACTTTGGCTCAGGTAATGATCTCACAGTTTGTGGGTTTGAGCCCCGTGTCAGGCTCTGTGCTGACAGCTAGCTCAGACCCTGGATCCTGTTTCAGATTCTGTGTCTCCCTCTCTCTCTGACCCTCCCCTGCTAACGCTGTCTCTCTCTCAGAAATAAATTTTTTTAAAAAGTTAAAAAAAAAAAAAAGAAACTCAGTTACTGCACCACCTAGATGGCATTACTATGCATAGTTCAGCAAGGCTCTCCAGAAGCCTGTATATTTTCTGAAACAATGTCAAATACATAGTACAGTCCAATAGCTAGGATTCATGAGTCCAGGAATCACGTAGTGAAAATTGGTACCACTCACTATTACCACTAATGACACACTAGCATAATTTTTGCAAGTCTTCTTGTGCCTTTATGCTCTGCTGGTATAAAGGTCTTAGAGCGAGAGGGAGGAATGCTTCCACCAACACACACAATAATGATTCTGCTCATCAAGAAGTTAAGATTGGGACTGGCCCACTTTGTGTTCCTCCTTCTTCTGAATCATCATGAAAAGAAGGGAGTCACTCTGCTAGCTGGTGAAACCACTGAGAAATTGGGCTCTTCTCCACAGTGAAGATGAGGACAAGTAGATTGTTCTTTAGTAGTGCCTTTCCCTGTAATTAAGGTCAATGAAAAAGTCCAACAAACCAATTCAGGTGGGATTTCTAATAGCCAGACACTTAAGAAATAAAGATAAAGAAGTTTAATCAGTGAGTTGTTTCCTATACAATAAGGGATTGTGAAATGGGTAGTGGAAGAGATAATTGTGAACACTAGCTATGACTACATGACTAGTTACAGAAATGAGAAGTGTAATTGCCATAAGTATTTACTCCTCAATTTGGTTAGAATCTTTGTGTGTGTATGTGTACATACCAACATCTTTGTATATTACATGTATATATAACAAGCATTTTTGCTTTCCTTTCACTCATATTCTCTTATCATGTAAAATAAAATGTAATGAATTTATATCATGGTAATTAATTATTTTGTTAATTTGACATCATAGTGTTTAAGTTACCAGATATCAAGGAAAAGAGTAAGCATCACTCAAAGATTTAAACTCATTTTCTGTGGAAAGGGTTAGTGTATTTTCAGTTTTATACAGTATAGTTATATTATGTTAAGTGGAATTATGATCTTGCTATTGTCTTTACTTGGAGTTTAAGTATGGTTTAAGAAATTGTGTGTGGGTGCCAAGTTGACAGTGGATGGACTTGTGATGGTTCGTGGGCCAACATGACTAGTCCACAGGATGTCTAGATAACTGGTTAAATATCATTTCTGGTTGTATGTATGAGGGTGTGTCCAGAGGAGATTTGTATCACATTAGCAGACTAAGTAAAGTTGATGGCGCTCCCTGATGCTGGTGGGCATCATGTAATCCATTGTGGGGCTGAATGGAACAAAAAGGCAGAGGAAAGTTGAATTCATTCTGCCCAACTGGTTGATCTGTGATATTGACCTCAGTTCTTAGTACTTTGGACTTAATGGAGTCTATACTATCCATAGGTTCTCCTAGTATCACATTTTAGAAATAGAGCATTATCTTTCCTGAGTCTCAGCCTTGCAGATGGCAGATCATGGGACTTCTCAGCTTCCATATTCATGTAATCTACTATCTTGTAATAAAGTCTTCAGATATAGATAAGATTTATGTACCTTATTGGTTCTGTACTCTGGACAACCCTGAGTAATATCTATACTAACTTCACATTTCACAAACTTTTTCTTTAATTTGAAAAATAGAGGGAAATATGATGCAACTCTTAACCACTGTCTTCAAATAAGTCTGACTTAGAAGGTAGCTTCTCAGCCCTTCTCCTTACCAGCTAACGGTGAAGGTGGTATAGGAGCTGAGGGCTGGAGGCTGAGTTGGCAGCTGGGACTTTTCTGTCATTTCTAAATGTGTTCTCAGCGCCACTGTCCTCTGTGCATGTCCCTGCTGCTCAGTTCCAAGTAGTTCAGAGTTTTGCATGAGTGAATGAATGCAAATACCTTATTTGCACAATGCATATTCCTCATGTTCTGGTGAAGCAGGCTGCCACAAATGTTCTTTTGCTTTTAGAGAAACCAAGAGCCACTCCAGAGCCAAAGAATAAATAGCTTAAGAATTGTCAAAAAAAAAAAAAAAAAGGTAGCTTCTCAGAAGAAATGTCATTGCATTAATGTATCATGATTATTATATATAAAATTCATCGAGAAGGATGGTTTAAAACTTATCCAGCTTGACAATTAAATTCTCTATTAAACAGATATACCTGGAATTAACCTCACTGACATGAAGCAGTGGTCTTTTAATTGCCTGTCATCACTGTCAATTATACTTTCAAGAAAAAGTTACAAAATTATCCACAGTACTTCATCCTTTGGAACAAAGGCCCCATTGAAACCTGTATCCAGCTGCCTAAATATGGGAGTAAGGTATAAAACTGAAAATGGAAATCTGTACATGTTTCCATAGTGCTGTTTAAGTAAGGAATAGAGGATGTGTCTCTATTTCTAGCTCTAACATCCTTGATTTTAAAACTTTACTTCACTTGATTATTTAAAAGAATACTTATCTAGTGTAGTCCCAACTCACAGCATAAACTTCCTGAAGAACAAACTAGTAATGGACTAAACCCATCACACTTTGTTTCCCCAAGCCCTCAAACTTATTCTGAAGCCAGTAAAGGCTGCAAACACTATTTTGACTGAGAACAATAAAAAGAAAGTCTATATTAGAGAGCTGCTCACACATAACATAATATATTTCTTACCAAGATTCTACCCTAATTACCCACAACTCAGATTGACAAATACTATTCTAGATTTGATTGGTGTTTGTTTTTTACCTAAGTGTGTTTATTCTTTGAGCACAGTCCAGGATAATATTGTCAGTGACTTTAACTAGATATTATAAAATGAGAAAAAAATGCATAAACATGTACAAGGACTGGGAACTACGAATTCATTAAATCTCTAAGTAAGAAAATTAATATGTTCCCAATAAAAGGTGTTTATATTGTTATTATGTTAATATTTTCAGAGGGTAGTTTAATCCATATTCAGTAGTGGTCCAGACAACTGGATGAACTTAGCATTGTGCTATTATCTTTTACATCTAAATATTCATTAATAATACACATGCAACTTCATAGTTTTCTTTTTAAAACTTTGCAGAACATCTTGTCTAAAATGTGGGCTTTGCAGGGATGTGTATTTTAGGTCTTTCCTAACATGACACTGAAATGACAAAAATGATGTACAAAAATAAAAAATTGTGTAACAGAAATGAGAATGGGAACACATTAGTGAACAGGAGATTTTAGGGAACTTCTGGAATGGATAAAGTAGTTGGAAGTTTAACGAAAGACACATCAGAGCAGGGAAATCTGTGTATGACATATGTGCAAGAGAATGCTTCACAGGAAGTCTGAGTTTCTGAGACCCCCCCAAAGCTTGTCCCCAAAGCTTGAGGATATCCCTAAGGGGGGAAAAAAGAGGGCAGATGACCTGGCCTACTTTTGTGATCTGCACCTCCAGAAATACATCATAATATTTGTTTTAAATACTATGTGTTTTGTATCTTTAAACAAACATCTAATTAAAGGGCTTCTTTCTGGTATTATGCCATATAAGAATAATTTGCTTTAGGTATATAGTGCTTGTGATTGTCTTGAAAGTAACAGGAAGATGAGCTAGTCTGAAGCAGACACCCCAAGCCCAGTAATCTCTTAGGGCTTATTACAGGATTGAAAACGAGTGATGCACTCTCACTTCATTTGAAGTACTTGTGCTGTCAGATTCATTTCAAATGTGTATGTATTTCCTAAGTACTTATTTAGGACCTCATGTGCATAAGCTTGAGTTATAATCTAAAAAAGTTTATGGGTCAAAAATAAGTACTAATAAAGGCCATTGTGACCTAAAAAATAAAATACACAGTGTTTCAAATGAGTTAGCATTCCTCTCCTTTTCAAGGTAATTAGGAAATGCATCACAGAAATCTTTTCAATTGTAATGAAGATGGGTGCACTTGGGGAAGCATTCTTTGTGGAGAGACCATATGAACAAAACCATGTACCTGAGAAGGTGTTCTGAAGGCTTTCAGTAGCTCATTTTGGTGATAACACTGAGTCTATTAGGAAAATAGTGGAGGAAGAGGCTGAAGAGATAAATCAAGATTTTGTTGGGAAAGACCTTAAGTAATACCATGGTGAGATACTGCAGGGAGATATATATATATATATACATACACACACACACACACATATATATAACACACATACATATACATATATGTATGTGTGTATATATGTATATATGTATGTACACATACATACACACATTTAAGATGTTTATTTTTATCTCCACCTGACATCATTAATGTTAGGACATATGTATATATAACATATATAACTACTAAAATTGTTGAATGCAGCAAATATGTAATCTGCACAATAAAGATAAACAGATTTACATGTGTTTACATATAATGTAATATATACATATAAAGAAGAAATAAACATCTGGATATGTATATAGAGAGTTCTAGTCACACCATATATACACATAATCTGGTAGCAATGACAATCCATTGAAAGTTATTTAAGAAGGATATTGTTTAATCAGACTTCTGTTTATAAAGAATAATCTGACAGCAATGTTTGGAAAGTAAGAGAATATCAACAGAATGTAAGAGAAGTAACAAGACTGTAGCAAATGACAGATGTGAGTAGTTTTAGCGTGAGAGCCTCAGTGGTATCAGTAGGAAAGAGGAAGGGCATGGGTAGACTGAAATTGGATCACTCATACATTTTTGCCTGTGTTCACTCATACACAACTGTGACTCCACTGTGGAGTAAATGTGATGTGAGTCTTCAGGCTGCATGGCTGTCAAAGACATGATATTCAAATTCCTTTCAGAGGTGTTAAACTATTACCATGCTTAATGAATTTATGAAGCCACATTGAAAACATAAAAACATATAAAATATTTTGTTTTCCTCTTGAATTATTTTAGTATGACATGAACACTTGGATAGACTTCTTTGTTTTTGAATAATAAACACATTTCAGAAAGCTAATTGTACACATACCTTAGTCATTAAAATGCTAAAATGCAATTATACCTGCAAAAACTTTGAAGGCTAATCACTTAAGAACATCTAATCTGTAACTTTGTGTCGTTTTAATGAAAAAGTAGGTATTAGTATGACTTAAGTATTTCTCTTTAACGTTTTTCTCAGTGAATCTATGACTTTCTTATTTCTCAAGCTATAGATAATTGGATTTAAGAATGGAATTATGATAGTGTAAAACAAAGAGTCCATCATATCCTGATCATCTGATTGTGCAGATACAGGGCGCACATACATTAAGACAAGAGCACCATAATATAACGAGACAGATAAGAGATGTGCTCCACAGGTGGAGAAGGCTTTTCTTATGCCTTGTAGAGACTTCTTCTTTAAGATTGAAAAGAGTACTTGCGAATATGAGACAAGAACTATCAGAATAGTGAACATCTGTATTGAGCCAGCCAAAATGAATACCATCAGAAAATTAATAGAAGGATCAGTACAAGAAATCTTTAACAATGGTATAATGTCACAGTAAAAGTGGTGTACCGTGATGGAATTGCAGAAGGTTAATCTGAATAACAAAGCATTATGAATTATGGCATGAAGAAGACCACCTGAAAATGACAAAACTAACAGCCGGATGCATACTATATTGGACATAATTACTGGATAAAGTAATGGTTTGCATATGGCTACATAGCGATCGTAAGCCATTGTTGCCAGCAGAAAGCATTCCGTGGTTATACTGATTGCAAAGGAAAAAAACTGTATCATGCATTCAGGAAGAGATATCATTTTATTCTTTGCAAAGAAGTTTACTAGCATCTTCGGGGTCACTGTGGATGATATCCAAGCATCCACAAATGCCAAACTTCCAAGGAAAAAGTACATGGGGATGTGTAGCTGAGGGTCATTCCATACAAGAGCAATCAGACCAAGGTTCCCCACAATGGTCAGAATATAGATAACCAAGAACACTAGGAATAGGGGGACTTTCCACTCTGGTTCATATGTGAGCCCTGTGAGAACTAACTCTGTCAGCAGTGTCGCATTATCTTTTTCCATATCCTCACTGGGTGTTGCCTGAAATGAAATGGAATACATGTTTTAAATGTCAATAAGAATTTATAATGTGAAAATATGGGGAGGAGATTTGAAATATAAATATGCACATCAGAATGCCCTCTTAATTTTATTACATATTTAATATAGAGAATCTGTTTTGGAGCAAATGAAAATAGTACAATTATTTAAATATTAAAATTCAGTAATGAACAGATTTTGAAAACTGAAAGACATTATACGTATGTGTTAAATTTATGGTACAGGATTCAGTATGAAACAAATTCTGTGTCTTGAATGTGGATGTAGGGTGAAGGGGAAAGAAGTTTGATGGGCTAGGGTAGTAAAGTTACCTAAATAGCTTATAAAGATCTTGAATATTATTTATCAGGGAACAAGAGGAGGGTATAGCACTGTAAGACTCTCTTTTAAAGTGCATATATGGTAGTATAAAAATAGGCTGAAGGAAGGGGAAATTGTGCTCAGGAGTACTAGGCAAGAAGAAGTTACTACCGTCTTGCTGCTTTCAATTCAGAGTACACATCAGAATTGTCTGGGAAAACTTTTGTGCAAAATATAGATTTGAAGCTTTACTATAGAAATTGACTTAGTGTGTCAAGAATTAAAGCTAATAATCTGTATTTTAAACTTGCTCCACAAATGATTTAAATACATGTGACTTGACAAGTCCGCTAGCAAACTGACATTGAGATGAACAAGAAGATGAAAACAGACGTCAAAGAATTCAGAATGTAGTGGCACTACCTCTGTGACATATTGGAGGTGAAGGAGTTTTCAGTGAGGAATAGAGGAATACCTGGGTAACTGGGTAGATTTTCCTCAAAATTGATTAAGAACTAGAATGCAGTGGCCAGTTTGTGGACCTCTAGGTGATATATACTTTGTAGTATAAATTACAAGAGCTTAATAGAAATAATGACTTAGAAATCATTGGAGTAGATAAAGGCATACTTATGTATGATCTATCCATTAGAGAATACACCAAGTGTCAAGAGAAGGGTAAGGGTCTGAAGTGACAGAAATATATTAAAGTAGTACTGAAGATGTATACCATTTTCACATAGCCAATCTGATCCTTTTTTCTCCCACGTATTCTTGGTAGCAGGCCAAGTCTACCACCCACTCTAGGAGCCAAAAGTTGTCCCCCTCACAACTAGAATGAGGGCACCTAATGTAAGTTTGGCAAATCTAACTTCCCCACACTGGGTTTGGAATTTTGAGTGAGGGAGTAAAAGGGACAAGGATGAAAGAGAATTTGGGTTACTAAGGCAGTCACTATATAAAATGAAGGTTCCAGGGGCTCCTGGGTGACTCAGATGGTTAAGTGTCCGACTTTGGCTCAGGTTATGATCTTGTGGTTCATGAGTTCAAACCCTGCGTCCAGCTCTGTGCTGACAGCTCAGAGCCTGGATCCTGTTTCAGATTCTATATCTCCCTCTCTCTCTGCCCCTTCCCTGGTTGCACTCTGTCTCCAAGAATAAACATTAAAAGTTTTTTAAGAAAAAATGAAATAAAATGAGGATGCCAGCAAATGCACCCATGCCAGTGACCCACCCTATCAGTATGTACAGTGGCTCCCACACAGCAGGAGTGACAACAACCCTCATGCAGACAGTGTTGGAACATGATTTTAGCTGTTCACAGACTGCCTTGCTTCCTTCTTGGCTGCCTACTTTTTTCTAACTGGTTCCTTCAGTCTCCCTAGCATTTCTATATTAGAGAAAATCCATTCAAAAACACCATTTCTTGTTGAAGCTAATAGTTCTGACAGCAGTGAAAGATAGGGAAAGACCAGGAAAGGATATGATGAAATGAAGAAGAGAAGGAAAACAGGACAGATGAGTGTCATGAACAGAAAGAAAGGAAGATATTCAGGAAAGACAAAGAAAGTTCTGGTGCCAGTCACTAAAATAAATGCTCTGGTAGGACATGGAGTGAACACATGTGATTGAGCATGGAAACTAAGATTTTTAGTGGCTTTAGTGAGAGCCATTTCCATTATGTGATGCAGTGGAGGGCAGAGAATAAAGAGAAGTGAATGGGAAACAAGTTATACAACAGTGAACGGGAACAAATTTGAGCACTCCAGCAATGTGGAGGACAGTTGTTGTATATCTACTGTGGGTGGACAAATGCAAAATATTTTTCCTGTGTATCATTTAATAGAAGTGTTCTGAAGAGAGAAGCAGAGAAGAAGGCATCAAGAAGAGAAAAAAAAGCAGAAGGAGAAGTTTGGGTGGGTGGAGATCACAAGATGCACAAAGACCAATATGCAGAAAATAATAGATAGGTCGATGAATAAGTGTGGGAAAGACAAGCAAAGCATGATTCAGAATATGTCAGAGAAAGTTTATGGACAACGAAAGAGAAAAGCTCAGAATTTGGGAATAAATATTTATCTTAACTTCTGTTTTTACTTAAAGTTGTTGATTTTCAGGTGCCTGCATGGCTCAGGGCAGTTAAATGTGACTCTTGATTTCAGCTCAGGTCATGATCTCATGGTTTGTGAGATCAAGCCTGACATCAGGCTCTATGCTGACAGTGCAGAGCTGTTTGAGATTCTCTCTCTAACTCTCTCTTTCTGCTCCTCCCCTGCTGGTGCGCTCACTCGCTTTTTCGCTCTCTCAAAATGAATAAATTAACTTTAAAAAAAATAACAGAGTTATTAATTTGGGGAAACTTGTTTTATTGAAATTTCCTTCTTTATTTTTCTATGAAATATGTGTATGAAAGAGATTTTCATTTTAAATTTCACTTCACAAACTTTGTGCTGTTCATAAATATACTAGCACTGCCTGAAAGTTCTTTTCATATTTAAAAGTGGCTTTGCATTTGATATTACAGTGATTAGAACTGACTTTTTCTAGAAATCCTTCTGGTTTAACTTGAGAGTATTTTTTTTTTTTTTGCCACCAGTTATTTAACAGAATAAAACTGAGCCAAAGAGTGGAGTGGAATACAAGTGATATAAGTAACCAAAGCCAATAATTGCAGTTTTTAAATGTACATTTATTTGAAAGGACTTGCTTCCATGAAATCTCAAATCACTAAAGAATTGAAGATACTCAAGTTCAGTTTACGTGTGGGTACTTATTAAACTATAAATGCTGAAAAGAGCATGAAGGGGTACTTACTGCCTATTACCTCCTACACGTAGATGAATAGTCAATAAAATTCTTGTCAGAAGTGGGATAAAGGAAAGAGTTAATATTCAAGTGATTTACTTTAAAAGTTTTATCAGAAAGTGTGATGAATTAAGTATAATGAAGGCTTTAATCAGAATGACTAGAAAGATTTCTTATGTAGGAATTGTTACGAAATGATTTTTTAAGTTTATTTATTTTGAGAGAAAGAGAAAGAGAGACTGGGGGAGGGACAGAGAGAGAGGGAGGGAGAGGATTCCAAGTGGGCTCTACACTGTCACTAAGGAGCCCAATGTGGGGCTGAAACCCACGAACATCATGACCTGAGCCGAAACCAAGAGTCTGACATTTAACTGATTGAACCACCCCGAAATGATTTTTTTTTTTTTTAAGAGAGAGTGCATGAGTAGGAGTGTGAGGCAGAGGGAGAAAGAGAGAATGCTAAGTAGAATGCTTAAGAGAGAATGCTGAGCATGGAGCCCAGTGGGGCTTGATCACACAACCCTAGGATCATGACCTGAGCCAAAATCAAGAGTTGAACACTCAACCTACTGAGCCACCCAGGTTCCCCTGTTATGAAGGGATTTGTAAATGCAATTTAAATTATTTAACATTCTAGTTCACTAATACCTATAAGTTATTACAGATCTGTTGAGAGAAATAAAACATTGTTAAAGTGAATAATTCAGTCTCACAGCTATTTGCTTATCAAGATTGTAGTCATTAAAATTAAATATATAAGTTATTCACTAGTGGTTTTCTGTTACTCACCTGGATTTTTTGGCGTCTTGTAAACACAATGTAAAATTATGATATACCTTTATATATAAAGAATAATGAATATTATATAAATTATTTCTCTCTTACCCATATCTTATAAGAAATTGAGGAAATATCTTCAAAGTGTTAGGCTTTCTTAGGTATAAAAAAAGTACAGTAGCACTGGAATGACAAAACACAGCTAGCAACACTTTCACTTTGGAGGCTTCATTTGCTAAGCTCAGGAAAATGTTATTTATATCAAATTGTTTAAAACACAGGAGTAAACCAATTATAGAACTGTGTGCTTTTGCCAGAGGAGAAAGGTATGAAGAACTAAAATTCCCCTAATAGCACCCAAGGATTCCCTTTAGGACAAAACTAAGCTGTACTTCTGGACATTGTAGATTTGAATTTATATGAGAAGCCCAGGTTCCCATGGGCATTACAGACTCTGAAATCATAGACATCAAGTCATCATAGAAAATGCTAGTTTTAACAATAGAAATTATATTTTATGCCACTATTTTTTACCACAGGTGACACTTCTGACACATTTATGCAAACTTCAGTTTCTCTATAAATTTTGATGTGCTGAGTGCTTTAATTAGTATGATCTTATCTGAGCTAATCAACCATGCATGATTTTATTGGGGCCAAACTTTTGGATTCCTTTCAGGAACCAATCTCAAATACAGTTGTCAACCCTCATGCAAACTAGTTGAGACCTATACCTAGCTATACCTATACCTATACCATTCCAGACCTATACCTAGCCTTCCACTTTAATCTGAAAACACATGAGAAACTTTCTAGGCAAAGGTCAGGGGAAGAAGAAAGAGAAAACAAAACAAAGGACCACAGTGGGACGTGGCATATATCAGTGCTTCACAAACTGTAATACTGGTGAATCTTTAAGCTTTTTCTTAAAATGCAGGTTCTGCTTTGGTAGGTCAGGGGTGAGGCCAAGAGTCTTCATATCTATCTAGGTGATGGCTGTGGACACTTGCATCTTTAGAGCCTTCCATCATTGGAGGGTCTAGATAATCTCAGAGCTAGATTATTGAAGAAACAAAAAAAATG